TCATTTTATGATTTATTTATTTACTTTTTTGAGACGGAGTTTTGCTGTTGTTACCCAGACTGGAGTGCAGTGGCACAATCTCAGCTCACCGCAACCTCTGCCTTCTGGGTTCAAGCAATTCTCCTGCCTCAGCCTCCCAAGTAGCTGGGACTACAGGCGCACACCACCATGCCCAGCTAATTTTTGTATTTTTAGTAGAGACGGGGTTTCACCTTGTTGACAAGGATGGTCTCGATCTCTTGACCTCTTGATCCACCCGCCTCGCCCTCCCAAAGTGCTGGGATTATAGGCGTGAGCCACCGCGCCCAGCCACTTATTTATTTTTGAGATGGAGTTTTGCTCTTGTTGCCCAGGCTAGAGTGCAATGGTAGTTCCTGCTGTAATAAGGCACTTGCAGCCCAGTTCCTGATCTGTTTGAGGTGTGGTGGGAGTAAAACCAGTCACAGCCTTCTGCGGGAGGCCATTTGGATGTTAGGGGTTAGAGCATCTCTCCACTGTCCTGGGGGCAAGGGAAAGTGGCAGTGGTGTCATGGTCTAGGACCTTGACATGGTCTAGGGGCGATCTTGGTTCACTGCAACCTCTACCTCCTGGGTTCAAGTGATTCTCCTGCCTCAGCCTCTTGAGTACTTGGGATTATAGACACCTGCCACACTGGGCTAATTTTTGTATTTTTAGTAGAGATGGGGGTTTCACTATATTTGCCAGGGTGGTCTCAAACTCGTGACCTCTGGTGATCCAACCTCTTTGGCCTCCCAAAGTGCTGGGATTACAGGCTTGATACTATACTGGGCCTTGATAACATATTTTAAAACATTTCAATCAGGACTTGGAAAAGAGTAAATGCTTAATAAAAGGGAATTATGGCTGGGTGTGGTGGTTCATGCTTATAACCCTAACACTTTGAGAGGCAAAGATGGGAAGATTGCTTGAGGCCAGGAGTTCAGGACCAGCCTAGGCAACATGGCAAAACCTCCATCTCTACAAAAATAAAAAAGCTTGCTGGGCACAGTGGCTCACACCTGTAATCTCAGCACTTTAGGAGGCTGAGGCGGGCAGATCACAAGGTCAGGAGTTCAAGACCAGCCTGACCAACATGGTGAAACCCTATCTCTATTAAAAATACAAAAATTAGCTGGGTATGGTGGCGCACGATTATAATCTCAGCTACTTAGGAGGCTGAGGCAGGAGAATCACTTGAACCTGGAAGGTGGAGGTTGCAGCCTGGGCAACAGAAGAAGACTCTTTTAAAAAAAAAAAAAAGTAAATAAAATAAATAAAAATAAATGAATAAATAAACAATTAGCTGGGCATGGTGGCATGGGCCTGTGGTCCTACCTACTTGGGAGGCTGAAGCAGGATTGCTTGAGCCCAGGAGGTTGAGGCTGCAGTAAGCTGTGTTTACCCTACTGCATTCTCTCCTGGCTGACAAAGTGAGACCATGTCTCAAAAAAAAAAAACAAAAAAACTGTTATTGGAGACTTTATTTATTTATTTATTTATTGAGACAGAGTCTTGCTCTGTCTCCCAGGCTGGAGTGCAGTGGTTGGATCTTGGCTCACTGCAACCTCCGCCGCCCGGGTTCAAGTGATTCTTCTGCCTCAGTCTCCCAAGTAGCTGGGACTACAGGTGTGTGCCACCATGCCCTGCTGACTTTTTAAAAAAATTTTTTTAGTGGAGACGGGATGTTTCACCATGTTAGCTAGGATGGTCTTGATCTCCTGACCTTGTGATCTACCTGCCTTGGCCTCCCAAAGTGCTAAGATTACAGGCCTGGGGCCATTATTTTTATCTTTATGTTGTTAATGTTGTTATTAAATTATTTTATTTAAGGGCTAGAAGGAGAGCTAGGTGGAGGGAAGTGTCATTGACTTGCTCAATCTATTAGATTAAAACAAACAAACAAACAATCTGCTAGATTGCCCAGAATAGATCCATCTAAGCAGAGGAGACTCTGAAAATAGGCAATTACAATATCATGTTAAGTGCTATGATAGAGGATTGCATAAGGTGTTTTGCAATTTTATCAGAAGAATCAATAATCCATAGACACAGCAAAAGTTTTGCACAGGAGGTAGCTTTTTGTTTCAAATCTGTCTATATTTCCAGGAAGTAGAAAATGCTGCTTGCTGGAGGCAGGCGGAAGGCAAGTGATAGCTCAGACTGTGCTCCTCACCCAAGGGCCTTGCTACTGATCTGCATCCCTTCTTGCTCCTGAAGGCCTCTCACCTCCCACACAGCTCTGCTAGCCAGCCTTGCCCTAGAATACCCTCTCCTGGGCCACCTGATGGTGGTGAACATCCTGGATTCTGTGCTGTGGCTTGATGCAGCTGAGTCATAAGACCTTTCTTTTTTCTGTTAAGCTCTAATGGAAGCCCTCTGGTCAGAAGCAATGCCCCAAGTCTACCTTGTGGGGAAAGTCTAATGATGACAGACCACTGCTTCTCCCTGCAGGGCTGGATGAACCTGGATGTGGTGGTGAGTTGGGGGAGAAGCACCAAGGGACAGCTTCATTTCTTCCTAGATAGGTGCCAGTTCTGGGTAGGCAAGACTTCCCAGGGGTGGACAGAAGGAGCAGACTCTCCCCAACCCACAATTCTCAGGAGGAGATGGGGAGCATCCCCCTTCCTATCAAGCCAGCCTCCAATGTCGCGCTTTGCCTGCCATCTGGCCGTGGCCCAAACCAGCTTCCTAGCTCACTGGTGACCACATTTTCCAAACCAAAACTCAGGACACATGATCTGGCAAAGAATTTCTGGCTAGCTTCCAAATGCAAGAGGCAAAAACCTTTCCATTTGAGAATCTCTACTATAATCTTAGTGTTAAAGGTGACCTTAGGTTGGAAACCTTGAAATTCAAGGTCTCCTCTTTCTGAAGCATTTTTTCTTTTCTTTCTTTCTTTTTTCCCTTTGAGATGGAATCTTGCTCTGTCGCCCATGCTGGAGTGCAGTGGCCTGATTTTGCTTGGCTCACTGCAACCTCTGCCTCCCGGGTTCAAGTGATTCTCCTGCCTCAGCCTCCCGAGTAGCTGGAATTACAGACTTGTGCCGCCACTCCCGGCTAATTTTTGTATTTTTAGTAGAGACATGGTTTCACCATGTTGGTCATACTGGTCTTAAACTCTGACCTTGTGATCTGTCCGCCTCGGCCTCCCAAAGTGCTGGGATTACAGGTGTGAGCTACCACTCCCGGCCTTTCTCCAGCGTTTTAATACGTTATTGTTGATCCCGAAAGAGCTCATGAGGTAGCTGATTATTTCCATTCAATAGTTGATAATACTTGGAGAGAGGGAATCACTTTTCCACGATCCTATATCCTGAAAGTCTGAATTCTGGCTTGTCAGGGACCGTTCTTAGGTTGCGTGTGTGTCTTGTGGGCAGAGTGGGGGGGGGGGTGGCATAGAAATGTCTTTCGCGAAGATGCACACGCCATTTATCTGGGGCCTCCAGGAAGAGCAGCCAAGAACTGAGCTGCCCAGGTTCCTACTTCTGAGTTGGAAATCCCCAAGCACAGCACTCGGTGGCCGCCCCGTCCCATCAGGATCTGGCCCCAGGCCTGAAGGCCTGGGAGCGGGAAAGAGCCCTTCGACCTTGCGGGTCACACCTCGGCTACTGGCCCTCGACCCAGCCCAGGTGCGGATGGGCGGGGAGCAGCGTGGGCGAGCAACTCCCCAGGCCACGTTCTGCCCTCCCTCCTGGGTCACATGGACGCGCCTTCCGTAGCCTGCAGTGCTGAGCGGAACGAACCACAAGGAGGAGGAGCGGGGGAGGCGCCCAGGGCAGTGGGTCAGCGCCCCGCGGGGCAGGTGGGCGGGTCCAACCGCCCGCGAGCCGGCGGGCCAGCCAGTCAGCAAGAGCGGAGGGCGGGCCGGCGGCCCCGCGCGCCGCGCCCCGCAGCGCCCCCTGAGGGGCGGCGGCGGGAGCTGGTTCCGGCTGCGCGCGCAGCGCTGGTGGCGGCGGCGCGATCGGCCAGGCTGTAACCGTCGTCCGTCCGGGAGCGGCTGGAGCGGCAGCGGCGGCCAGGCACTGCGCGAGGCGACGCCACAGGGCAGCGGTGGCAGTGGGGGCAGCGGCGGCAGCAGGAGACGCAGCGGCGGCCGCAGCAGCAGCAGCAAGACGGACTCGTGGAGACGCGCCGCCGCCGCCGCCGCCGCCGCCGGGCCGGGCCGGGTGTCGCGCGCCGAGGCTGGGGGGGAGTCGTCGCCGCCGCCGCCACCGCTACCGCCGCCGCCGCCGCCGCCGAGGTGACTGAGGAGAGAGGCGCCTCCTCGCTCCCGCCGCAGCCGGACTTCAATGCCCAGTCCCCAGCTCGCCAGCGTGAGTGCGCCCCTCCCGGGCGGCCCCTGCGCCGGCGCCGGGGGCCTCGGGGAAGGGGAGGGCGGGAGGCGCCGCAGCCATTAGTGCAGGCCCGAGACACGTCCCCGGAAGGAGGGCCGAGCCGGGCCGGGGCGGGGGAGCGAGGGTGAGTGAGAGAAGGGCGGGCTCGTGTGTGTGGAAGAGGTAGAGAGCTGTGCGAGCGTGGAGGAGAGTGTGAGTTGGTGAAGGGAGGGCGTGTGTGGGAGACAGGGCTGAGTGTCCGTACTAGGCTGTGGGGGAGAGTAGTGGGAGCGCGGGGCGGGGGAGAGGGTCGGGGGGCATTGTCGATGTTGGGAGAGTGTGGGTGAGGGCAGGGGAGGGTATGGGTGTGCGGGGAGCGTGTGGGTTTGAGGGGTGGGAGTAGAATGAGTGTGAGTAAGTGGGGGAGGCGAGAGTTGAGAGAGTGGTAGAGAGCTGGAGTGTGGGGGGAGAACGTGGTGTGTGTCGGGGAGAAGGTGCGTGGCAGAGGCAGGAGTGTGGCAGGGTGTGCCCGCGTGTGTCCAGTGTGTGAGCAGGCATTCTGGAGGCTCTTCCCCTTGGTCTTTGTGTGTGGCGATAGTGAACCCTGGTATGTTGGGTTAGGGAGTTCTTTCCAGGAGGATCTTGTCCCTGGGTCCTTAGGTTCAAGTATGAGGAAACGGGGTGTAAGTCTCTTCCAGCGGCACTATGATCTTCTGGCTCTGGGATTTTCACTTTTCCCCCAGAAAGGATGTGATGTGGTTTTTTGTTGTTCTATAAATTTTTTTCTCCCAAGTTTCATGACTTCAAAGTAAATTTCCAAGTTTGTCAAGAATGCTATCCCATTCTTGTCTAGGGGACCAGAGAGCTGATGAAAAGAAGTTTGTCTGTTGCCCAGGATCCTACACTCTTGCCTGTGAAGTGTTAAGAAGCATAAACTTTTGTAAAGAACTGCTAGTTTTTCAGGTGAACAGTATTTTATTGTTAGGTAAATTGAACTGTAGGCTAGTTGATTATTTTCTGGAATTTGTCAAGAAATTTGCAATGACTAGCAGTTCTAGCATCACTGTAGGCATTAAGCCAATGCTTGTCTGTCTGGAGTCACCAAACTACAACCACTGCTGAGTTGGAATATGGTACTTGCTGTCATGCTCTGTAATGGAGAGTAGTTTCAGAGGGAAGTGAGTGGTTATGCCTTGCTGAGTGTGCAAGGAAATTAAGGATGCAGAATGACACATTATCAGGTCTTCAGAATCACTTGCCAGCACACTATTGTATTGGTGAAGATGGTGAGAAATTGTTTGCTGGTATTCTGATCTTGACATTTTTAAGTTTCACAGTGGATGGACTAATTACTGTCATGAACTTTTCCCATTCTTGTGTTGTAAAAGTTGAGATTCTTGATGAAGAGTAGGACCTTGATAGGGATTTTACACTTGGATATAATCTTTTTTTTTTCTTCTTCTTTTTGAGACAGAGTCTCACTCTGTCACCAGGCTGGAGTGCAGTGGCACAATCTCGGCTCATTGCATCCTCTGCCTCCCGGTTTCAAGTGATTCTTTTGCCTCAGCCTCCCGAGTAGCTGGGACTACAGGTGGGCACCACCATGCCCAGCTATTTTGTATTTTTAGTAGAGACAGAGTTTCACCATGTTGGCCAGGATGGTCTCCATCTCTTGACCTCTTTATCCGCCTGCCTCTGCCTTCTAAAGTGCTGGAATTATAGGTGTGAGCTACTGAGCCTGGCTCACTTTGGTATAATCTTTTTTTTTTTTTGAGATGGAGTTTCGCTTTTGTTACCCAGGCTGGAGTGCAATGGCGCAATCTCGGCTCACCGCAACCTCCGCTTCCTGGGTTCAGGCAATTCTTCTGCCTCAGCCTCCTGAGTAGCTGGGATTATAGGCACGCGCCACCATGCCCAGCTAATTTTTTGTATCTTTAGTAGAGATGGGGTTTCACCATGTTGACCAGGATGGTCTCGATCTCTTGACCTCGTGATCCACCCGCCTCGGCCTCCCAAAGTGCTGGTATTACAGGCTTGAGCCACCGCGCCCGGCCTTTTTTTTTTTTTTTTAAAGACAGGGTTTCACCATGTTGGTCAGGCTGGTCTTGAACTCCTGACCTTAGGTGATCCGCCCGCCTTGGCCTCCAAAGTGCTTGGATTACAGGCATGAGCCATCACACCTATCCTGGTATAATCTTAAAAATTATGTTAATTTAAAAATAATGTCTCTTAGCTGGGTGCGGTGGCTCATGCCATTAATCCCAGCACTTTAGGAGGCTAACATGGGTGGATCACTTCAAGACCAGTCTGACCAACCTCTCAAGTAGCTGAGAATACAAGTGTGTACCACCACACCTGGCTAATCTTTGTATTTTTAGTAGAGAAGAGTTTCCATGTTGGCCAGGCTGGTGTCAAACTCCTGACCTCCAGTGATCCACCTGCCTTGGCCTCTCAAAGTGTTGGGTTTACAGGCATGAGGGTGGTCCTTTTGACAGTGAGCATAATAGAATTACAGGCAAAATTATTGATGTGTATTTAAAAGTCAGAAGTTATATTTTTTGGCTGGGTGAGGTGGCTCCTGCCTGTAATCCTAGCACTTTGGGAGGCTGAGGCAGGAGGATCGCTTTGAGCCCAGGAGTTTGAGACCAGCCTGGGCAACATGGTGAAACAATGTTTCTACAAAAAATATATAATTTGCCAGGTGTGGTTCTGTGTGCCTGTAGTTCAGGCTATCCTGGAGGAGGCTGAGGTGAGAGAATTGTGTGAGCCCAGGAAGTGAAAGCTGCAGTGAGCCAGTGAGACCCTGTCTCAAAAAAATAAGAAATAGTAAATAGTAACTATTTATCGAGGGAGGGGATTAATTAGTATTAATTGCCCAGTGTGCTGCAGGTGCTTTTTATACTCATTTAGTTCTCACAACTAGGAGAAAAGTGGTAGATGTCTTCATTTGTATCCATTTGGCTTACTTGAATCAATTCTGTTTGCCAGGCACTAGGGATACAGTCATGAGCTCCCATGGATTTACTGTGGTGAGATGAAGAGATACAGAAACTCAAAAGGTTAAGTAACTTGTCCCAGGTCACACAAATAATAAGAATTAGTGCTGGATTAAAAAATCCAGGTCTTCGACTCTAAAGCCCTTGATTTTTCCAATACATCATATCACTATCTCAGTAGCTCGTCTTATATTGAGGTTTCTCATCCACACGATGACCTACCAGCTTGTACTTAGGAGAGCTGTTAAAACTAATGGAGAAGACTGAATGGCTGGAGGCAAGGGGATCATTTAGGAGATGCTGACTGGAGGCTCTTTGGGGCCCAAGCTAGGCTTTTATGTGGGAGGAGAGTCTGCCTTGCAAGTCTCTTGGGGCCCATGGGTGTGTGCTTTGAGACAGTTTTTATGAGGCACCTGGGATATGTCTGGGTGAGGGAAGTCTGATTAAAGAAATGCAGCAGCCTTTTATGTTTTTTATTTTTTGGAAAAAGAGAATATATTTACTGGGGCCAAGAGTGAACTAGAACTTGTTACTATATGAAAGTTTCTCTGTTGAGCTGTGTGGGACACTTAAATCAGAAGGCATGAGAAAATAACATGTGAAAGCACTTTTTTAATTATAAATTGAACTACAGATTCAAAGTATTATTACCACTAAGATCTTTCTACTAGGGCAACAGATGTCATAGCTGGAAATGGCTGGCATTTTAGAATACCTTTATAAATGAAAAATAGTTTCGAACTGCTGAACAGGGTATTTTCTGACTCAGAACAGCAAGTCAGGCCACTCCCTCTGTGAGTCAGTCAAGTAATATTTAATTTGAACAAACCAAATTGATAGGCAGAAACCATTTACAACATCATTGAACTTTGTAGCTCTAGGAAGAGTAAATGTTTGAATACTTTCATATATAGCTTTAAAAAAGTGTGAGAGACGGGGCATGGTGGCTTATGCCTATAATCCTGGCACTGGAGGCTGAGATGGGCAGATCACAAGGTCAGGAGATAGAGACCATCCTGGCTAACATGGTGAAACCCTGTCTCTACTAAAAATACAAAAAAATAGCCGGGTGTGGTGGCATGTGCTTGTAATCCCAGCTACTCGGGAGGCTGAGGCAGGAGAATCGCTTGAACCTGGTAGGTTGCTGTGAACCCAGATGGAGCCATTGCACTCCACCCTGGGCAACAAAGCGAGACTCCATCTCAAAATAAAACAAAACAAAAAACAGTGTGAAAGCCCCATTTATAGTTTATTTGAAAAAAATTTCAAACAAGGTAAATTAGATTTAATTTTCTTAAGAATTAACTTTTTGTTCATTTTATCCTGTAAAGGTAGTATTTCCTTATGCAGTAATTAAGGAATACTTTACAATTTTCAGACACAAAGTTGAAATTTAGGGATTTATTTTACAGGGTTTGACTATACTTTTTCCTTTTTGTTGTAATGTGGGGTTGGTAACCAGTGAAGCCTCTAGAAGATGCATTTATAAGATGCAGAGGAGCAGGTTGCTACATTTTTTTTTGTTTGTTTGTTTTGAGACGGAGTTTCGCTCTTGTTACCAGGCTGGAGTGCAATGGCGAGATCTCGGCTCACCGCAACTTCCGCTTCCTGGGTTCAAGCAATTCTCTTGCCTCAGCCTCCCAAGTAGCTGGGACTATAGGCGTGCGCCACCATGCCCAGCTAATTTTTTTTTTTGGTATTTTTAGTAGAGACGGGGTTTCATCATGTTGACCCGTATGGTCTTGATCTCTTGACCTCGTGATCCACCCGTCTCGGCCTCCCAAAGTGCTGGGATTACAGGCGTGAGCCACTGCGCCCAGCCAGGTTGCTACATTTTTAGCTTTTGGTCTTAGAAGAATGAAACTTTCGTTGATTTGAGTGCTATTCTATCAGGTACATTATTTGTTGGATAGAAGATGGAATCTTTAATATTTTTAGTAAGAATCAGGATCCACAGTTTTAACATGGTGGACTTAGTTATATTTATTGAATAGGGTGATGGTAGAGATATTAGGGTACTGGTAAAGTGCAGTATTACACTTTCAGGCTTTAGGTTTCTACATTTCTTTCTTATGCCAAAACATGTATCATCTCATTTAAAACTCAATAATCCTGTAAGTAGTATTCTTCTAGCTTTACAGATAAGGAAATTTATATGTATATATAAATTTTTTTTTTTAAGACAGAGTCTTACTCTGTCTCAGGTTGGAATGCAGTGGTGCGATCTCAGCTCACTGCAGCCTCCACCTCCTAGGTTCAAGCGATTATCCTGCCTCAGCCAAGATTACATCGTGTGCCACCATGCCCAGCTAATTTTTGTATTTTTAGTAGAGATAGGGTTTCAGCACGTTGCCCAAGCTGGTCTCGAACTCCTGAGCTCAGGCATGATCTGCTCACCTCAGCCTCCCAAAGTGCTGGGATTTCATTGCTAATCGCAAGTTTTAGAATCTCAGTTAAAGAGTATCAGTAAATAGACAGCAGTGAATAATTTTTTTTTCTTTTTGGGGGTTTAAAGTACTTAAACTTGTTGAACAGTGGATGCTACCAGTTACAATTACTTTGGGAGATGGTTATTTGAGTCTCTTAATCTGTGAAATATTAGAAAAGTCTTGGCCAGGCACAGTGGCTCATTTTGGGAGGCAGATGCAGGAGGATCACTTGAGGCCCGGAGTTTGAGACCAAACTGGACAAAATAGAGACACCATCTCTACAAAAAGTACAAAAAGTAGCCAGGCATGGTGGCATGATGTTCTAGCTACTTGGGAGGCTGGAAGGATCAGCTTCCTGAAATGAAGGATCACTTGAGCCTGGGAGGTCAAGGCTGAAGTGAGCTGAGATTATACCACTACACTCTAGCCTGGGAGACAGAGTGAGACCCTGTCTTAAAAAAAAAAAAAGTCCGGCCGGGCGCGGTGGCTCAGGCCTATAATCCCAGCACTTTGGGAGGCCAAGGCGGGTGGATCACGA